TAACGTAATTAGTATGTGAATAAATTGGATAAATAATTCTAATACAAGTAATACTATTACTAATTTTTGACGAATATAACCTACCATTATTGACACTTGGCGGTAACGCTCCAGAAGGATTTAATGATGGATGGAAATATACTGGGGTATGATCTTTTGGTTTACTCCTATACATATATATTAAAATATTATCAACCATACTCCATAATAAAATGATAATTATTTTTTTAAATACGCTACAATACCTTTGTAAGCTGACGCCATGTGCCTATTATCAATAACAAAGGTAATTACATACCAAACAATTAGCATTAAGATATTGGGATAAAAAATTTGGAACTATTTTTTTTTTTCCTCTAGAAATTTTACCTTTTTTGTGTCCAATATTTTTGAAAGTTTATCCTCTAAATCTTTTAATTTGGCTTTGCCATTTTTATCAAGCCTTTTTTCTTTATCTAATGAATAGTCAAGTTATACGCTATTTTTAGAATGAAATTATGATTATTTAAAATAAAAACAAAATAAAGATTGATAGATAGATAATATAAATATAACTAGGAAAAAAAAAAAACTAACCAAGTGCTTTATATCGTGATATCTCTTCTTCAAGTTTCGATGTATCTTTATGTACCATAACAAGAGTTCTTACTCTTTTTCTTTCCATTTTATTCTAAATAAACCGAAGCTTCAGTTAACGTATAATTTTGTTAAGTATTTACCGTAAAACAAACAGTATAGATTGCAAACCTTTTTGATTTCTTTTTGGCGCATCGCCTTGCCTGCAATGATCAATAGATTCCATAGTTGTAATTAAAGCTTTAAAAAGGAATCAAATACGTTCAATACGTTCAGAAATAATAAAATTCATACGATGAGCATCGGCAGGGTTAAGAGTCCTTCCGCTTTTCTTTTTAACCATCTTTGCAGTAGCTGGTTTAGAAATTAAATACGAGGAATGCTAAAGTTTTAACAACTAACGTTATTAACGTTTAGATATAATTTATCGTGTTAAAAAAACCAATAGTTCCTTATATACCAGTATACTGTACTACAAATAAATTTCGCTCATTGGCTAAAACAATCACGTTACTAAAATCTTTTTTTTTGTTTGATTTTCAGTAAAATATAATTTTAAGAATATATTTTTAATTATTTATAATTATAACCCAAATATTTTAAAGTACAGTATTTTGAGTTGGCGAAGACGTACTATATCAATATGAATGTCGATATTGTAAAACCTATTTACGCAGTAAGAAAGCGTTTTTAATTACTGAAAAAAAAAACTAAGTTAAACGGAAACGTTTAATCGTTGGGTATCCTTATGTCAAGAAAATCCCGAGCTGCCGGCCAAAAAAATATGGGTCGCAGTATCACAAAAATTCCCTATATATCTAGCATTAACAATTGTGTCCTATGAGTAAAATTTCATTCTGAAAACTTTTATTTAGAGGTCGGAAGTTAGT